GACAGCAGTTCCATCTCTGGAAATCAGATTCGCCTGCCCATAATTGGGGAGAATGGTGGCTTTGAAAAGGTTAACTTGGGAGCCCTGGGGACGGCTGCAGGGAACGTACGCCCATTCCCCCTCGGAAGCAGAGCCAGGCCGCCTCCCCTCCGCAGTGGTGAGGACTCGTGGACAGTCCCACGGGGATGGCGGGAGACTTGCGGAGTGGCCGCCCTCCAGGTCCGCGCCGAGGCCGGGCAGCTCCGCTTTCTGCTCAGTCTCCGCGAGGTGTCGCCTTCGGCCGAAGAAACCACCGCGGCGCCACCCTCGTAGCTCGCACTTATTTATTTATTTTCAAACAAGGGGGGCGCCCCTCTCCTTTCAATTCGAAACTAGAAATATCCAGAGGTCTTGTTCCTAAGGGGGCGCGTCCTCTCCCTGCTATTTTGCACCTTCGGACTAGCCTTCTTTCGGAATTACACAGGAGCAACCTCTCTGCAAGGCCTTGCTCAACGTTGGCCTCGCGCTCAGCTGCACAACAAGCCGTCAAAGCGGGGGCTGGGTTAGAAGCATCGGTCTCCCCTCTCCAACACACACCCCCGGAGCCCTCCGTAATTTTTTTTTTCTTTTAATGACAAGCAATTGCCAGGCCCGCAGGGTGGGTGCTGCATTGCACCGCTCGGCGCGCAGCTGGTTCTCAGAGTGCAGCCGGTGCAAGCCCGGGGGTCCAAAAGGGCGGGAGGAGCACATCCCGGGCTTCCCAGCTTTGCAGCCTTCTCTCTGCAAAGAAAAGCAAGTGGCTTTTGGCGCGAAAGCCTTGGCGCCTCCCCTGATTTTTATGGAAATCAGGAGGGCGGGGTAAAGCCGCTTTCCTCTCCTTTCTCCCTCCCCCTTGTCTGCGCCACAGCCCCCTTCTCTCCCCGCCCCCCGGGTGTGTCAGATTTTTCAGTTAATAATATCCCCCGAGCTTCAAAGCGCAGGCAGTGACAGTCATCTGTCTGGACGCGCTGGGTGGATGCGGGGGGCTCCTGGGAACTGTGTTGGAGCCGAGCAAGCGCTAGCCAGGCGCAAGCGCGCACAGACTGTAGCCACCCGAGGACACCCCCGTCCCCCGGCCCACCCGGAGACACCCGCGCAGAATCGCCTCCGGATCCCCTGCAGTCGGCGGGAGGTAAGGAGCAGGGCTTCCAAACCGCCCGGCGCCCAGGGAGCGACGAGCGCCGGGGCAAGGCAAGCCCTGGACGGGATTGCGACGTGCGCACCGGGCGCCCGAATATGCCCGGGGGACTGTTTCTGCTTCCGAAACAAAACCATCTCTGGGTTTTCCCAGAAAAGCCAGTTCCAGCCCCGAAGCCATCCTGGCTAAAGGAGACCCGCCCTAATCCTTTTGCAGCCCTTACCGGGGGGAGTAATGGCTTCTGCGAAAAGAAATTCCCCCTGCTCTAGAAGATCTGTCTGTGTTTGAGCTGTCGGAGAGCCGGTGCGTCCCCACCCTAGGCTGGGTTCTTCTCCAAAGGGTGCCCCTGGAGGAAGAAGACGGGGGGTTAGGCAGGGCGAGGCCACCGCGGTCGTAATCTGGGTCACGGCTGCTCCAGCTCGGAGGAGAGGCGGCTCTCCCGGTGACCCTCCTCGCGCGGGCGCCCCTGCACCATTCCCGGGAACAGGGGCTCAACCTCCCCCTCCCTGGAAGAGGACGCTGTTGGGGGTTTGGAAGAGCAGGGATGGGCTTAGAGAGGTTCCAGATAAGCTATTGGTAGGAGTATCCCTGCAGCGGGTGAATGCCGAGGGCGTTTGCTCAAATTTGGGGAGGGGAAGGATTTGTGGATATGGGTGTCTGTTGTTGGTCTCTCTCTAGAGAAAGGCTTTTTCATTTGCAAAGTTTCCTAAATCCCCTGCTATCATTTGCACTCCCGAGGCTGCATTTTTACAAAGGGGGTAGAAGGTACTCCAAATACCATACCCGGTAGCTGGGTCGGAGAGCCCCGGGCTTCCCCAGAGCAGCTGGCCCCTCGCCGCTGCGAGTGGGGTTGTCTGCGTGCTCGTGAGAGCTAGAATTCTGCAGCCTGGAACAGCCCCCTCCCCCAGGCAGTGCCTTGTGTGAATGAAATGGCAGTTTCCAAAGTTGCGGAGCCACGCCACCACCCCCTGCATCTGCATGCCCCCTCCCACCCCCTGTCGTAGACAGCTTGTACACAAAAGGAGGGAGGGAGGGAGGGAGCGAGAGGCACAACTTCCTCCACCTTCGGGAGCCGTGGGCAGAGTGGGGGGCTTGGAGGGAAGATTGGGGAACCGGGTTAGAGGGGGCGCCCATTGCCTTTCCCCTCGGTCTGCTCCGTTTGCCCACCCTCTCCGGTGTGTCTGTCGGTTGCAGTGTTGGAGGTCGGCGCCGGCCCCCGCCTTCCGCGCCCCCCACGGGAAGGAAGCACCCCCGGTATTAAAACGAGCGGGGCGGAAAGAAGTCTTCAGTCGCCGGCCGGGAGGCGAGCCGATGCCGAGCTGCTCCGCGTCCACCATGCCGGGCATGATCTGCAAGAACCCAGACCTCGAGTTTGACTCGCTGCAGCCCTGCTTCTACCCGGACGAAGATGACTTCTACTTCGGCGGCCCCGACTCGACCCCCCCGGGGGAGGACATCTGGAAGAAGTTTGAGCTGCTGCCCACGCCCCCGCTGTCGCCCAGCCGTGGCTTCGCGGAGCACAGCTCCGAGCCCCCGAGCTGGGTCACGGAGATGCTGCTCGAGAACGAGCTGTGGGGCAGCCCGGCCGAGGAGGACGCGTTCGGCCTGGGTGGACTGGGTGGTCTCACCCCCAACCCGGTCATTCTCCAGGACTGCATGTGGAGCGGCTTCTCCGCCCGCGAGAAGCTGGAACGCGCCGTGAGCGAGAAGCTGCAGCACGGCCGCG